GCAGAAGAAAGTACTCCATAAGATTGTAATAATGTGAGTCATCATAATATACTCAAGTAGTATCAACGGATAGTAAAGGATACTACAGACTATGAACGGGCGGTATGAAGCAGGCCAAAGGAGATATCACATGCAGTCCAATGACCCTAATGGTAGCGAAATGAAGTAGAAATGGGAGTAAATCTTAGAAGCAAGGTATGATTAATTTCAATGTATAATTATGATTGTCTTCAATTAGTTATAAGCAGTTCAAGCATCAGGCCTTTGAACCATCAACGTATTGATGGTGGAGTCAAAGGTTGGTTCATTAAAATTAAAAAAATTAAGAATGCTTTAGAAGTAATAAGATGACCCAACAAGACCTATATATTACTTTAAAAATGTCAGTGTGTCCTTACCGAATCCTATTCAAAAGACGAGAGCTTTCTAACTGACACTAAAGGTGTAAAATAGCCGATATTCGAATCTCAATCTGGCACGAGCAAAGCATACTACAACCGACAAAGAAAAGGGATTTAAGAATTGCCCACTGCCTAAACTTCAGCTTTATATTAATCTAATAATAAAACCTATTGATGATTCTGTTCATCCATGTGATTCAATGACAAAACTTCCCTTCGGTAAACTGCATACGATGTGCGTCTGCAGTAATTCTTCAAACCATCAAATATTTTAATCAGCATACCCGATGCTAGAACAAAGGAAGCGAAGATATGAAGACCAAGATGCTGTGGCCTCTGGTATGGTCGCAGTCTCCTTTAGATTTATAGAAGTGGGCTGACATCTGGACGTATTCACTACTTTAGCATGGACTGATAGCGATTCTACCCCAAATAAGCCGAGTAAAAAAACGAAGCACATCAGACTTCTTAGTTAGCTTTATAGAGCAGTTTTATTTATTAGAATTGTGAAAACAGCAGATGAATATCTAAAAGCTTGAGAGTCAAAGATATGATAAGTTGGATGACACACTGTCCTGAACCTCAGTGCATAAAATCACATAAGTGTAGCCTTCATCAAGGGGTTAAGAATAAGTTATCTCAAAGTCTTAAAGTGAAAATGAATTTGCCAGCGCAAAACAGACGTTGTGAGAAAAGATAAATGAAATAGTTATTAGTACAACCCAACATATCGATTACTCGAGAGAAAGTCAACTGTCGGGTCATGAAAAATGGGATACCCAAGTCTCTTCATCTTCACTCTCACATAGTTCTTATTCTTTAAGTCACAGTTACACGTTTTTCCTTCCCAGTAGGGTGGCCAATGAAATAAACCAACTTTACCACCATCGTGCACTATTGGTGCACAGTTTTTCGATTTGATTAGGAAATATTTCAATCAATCTAATCATGTCTAATAAGTGCCGTCTTCTCGAAGCCTAATCGTTCCCGCGAACCAGCTTGGCGAATGGTCATAAGAACAGCCGTAAAGAGCAAACGGTCAGAATTACCGAGCAAAGATGAGATTATGAAGGCAAGAATCTGAGGCCTCAGAGAATTGATATGCGGTACTTTTGACAACAAAGGAGGTCTGTTCTTTAATCAAATAAGAGGTGGACATTTTGGGGTTTAAGCACATTGAAAATTGAGCATCGTTTTAAGCTAAAATACATTGCATATCGCAGCAAATAATTGGTACAGTAGAACAAGGCTGCCTCTGTGCACGGTGACATCAAGTGCTTTAACTGACTTCTACTTCATGCAACATGTCAATGACTAATGCTTATCTGCCGATCTGGAGAAGCCATTATAATGCTTACAACTAAAAAACTGCCCTAAAACCTGATAATTGCATGATTGCCCCTACGGAGCATAGTCTGGATGTATTATTGCATTAATTATTTTCAGAAGGAAACAAAATTTAGATAGGCAATTTGGAGCATGTAATGCGCTAATTTTACAAAGCATATTTTGAGAAAATTTATTACAACTTCGTTCAGTAAAGGAAGTGATATATTTGGTTTCCATTTATATATATATATATATATAGCATGATTAAAGGTGATTTTCAAATTGCTTATATATAGATAGATTAAATTATAATTTGAAAACTGTTGCATATAATCGAAATACTTCGAAATACATCCTGTTTGAGTCACCATTAGGTGATTTTTCTTGTATTCTAATGCCCATCATTTGGACTAAGAAGACTTACAAGCAAAGGCTTCAGGATGCCAATCAGAACCGGTCATGAGTGTAAGTCCAGCTTGGGATTGCTGTTGACGACATTGATCTCCTGTCCAGATCGAGTCTAAGTAACGAATAAAGTTCTCCCGCCTGTGCGAAATCATTTCCGGGACGTCTGAGGCTCGCAAAAGACCGGATTCTGAGGTCAAATGCGATGGAATATGTAGGGCGGGACTGATGGTGGTGGAAGTTGTCTTGGAGGCGACTCCAGAAACGATAGGAGACAGCATCGAACGCGTCGGAAGAGATGATGGAGAAATGGTTGTACCGCAAAGGAGGTTAGAAACGACGCCTCCTGAGGCGGCTCGGCGACGCTTCCGGCTTTTTTGTAACTGTCGAAGCTTGAAATAAAGTGAGCAGGATTATTAATAAGGAAAATATTTTTACAAGTACACATCAATTATAATGTATATGAATAAGATATGGGTCGACCACGTAATTATACCAAATAAAAATAAAAATAAGGTATGCAGTAAATGGTGCCAATAATGATGACAATATTTATGCAGGATTCATAGTTGAGTAACCAAGGTTCTTGTGGCAGCTGCCATGGGTGCCTAAATCAAGAAAATATATAAGTGAATTAAGGTATGAGAAAAACTAAACAAATGGGGTACTGATAGATGAATAAATGATAATTATAAGAGGAGCTTTATTCTAATGAGATTCCATCTAAAAAGGGCTGCAATTTTGGTCTCTCCTGTCTCACATTTTAAACTAACCAGCAACGTCATGGTTCGAGTCCCGCTGGGGGTATTGATAAGACCTAGGTGAGGTCGAAACTGCAGTCTATCCTGGATGAGAACAACTTTTAGGAAAGCAGGGCAGTAAAATTTAATGAAAACGTCATGTCTATTTATAATACTATGAGAAAATTCAACTACCAGTCCCTTATCACACTAAATGAAATACGATGAACACATCTCATATATATGATCTACTGGCAGTCTTGAAAGCCTACTTATAAATTAAAATAATACATTGTTAGGGGGACCTTCATTTCCAATGAAAGTGAATGAAGAGGAGATTCGTTGGCCGATCTCACCAGATGAGGACGGATGAAACTCGTTGTACTGCAGCCGTTTGTTTCG